TTAGCTCTTCTCTTCTCTTCTCTTCTCTTCTCTTCTCCACTTTTTCTCTCCACCTAATTCTCTCTCACAGTCCTCACCATGGCCAGAACCACAACTGCTTCAAATTCATCTAAAAAGCCTTTCGGCATAAGTCAGATCAGAGCATACATCCCTATTGTGCTAAATCTCGACAAGATGAATTATGATGTGTGGAGGGAACTATTCGAAACCCACTGCCTCACCTTTGGGTCGTTGATCACCTTGATGGATCATCTGTCGCCACTCCAGAAATCGATAGAAAATGGAAGGAAGTGATGGTCTTGTTAAGATGTGGATATAGGGAACCATTATCGACTCGCTGGTCGAGACAACCCTCACACCGAAGAGTACTGCACGCGATCTCTGGAATGCTTTGGAGAACTTGTTTCGTGATAACACGGAAACCAAGCTCTACAACTAGAGAACGAGCTCCGTACAATCAATATCGGTGATCTCTCTATCCAAGAGTATTGCCGCAAGCTGAAGTCTCTCTCAAATCTTCTCACTAATGTTGATTCTCCACTAACTAATCGACAGTTAGTCATGCTCTGCCTCAATGGTCTCAATGACAAGTTTGACGGCATCCATACTGTCATTCGCCACCATAGCCCATTTGCAACATTCCATACTACTCGTTCAATGCTACTTTTTGAAGAACGCCTTAACAAGCAAACCAAACTACTGTTACTGAACCTTTTCAGATGATACATTCCGATATTTGGACGTTTCATGTGTCCAGTATCTCTTGTTTTAAATACTACCTCTTATTCTTGGATCATTACTCACATTTTGTTTAGGTATATCCTTTGAATAGAAAAAGTGACAGCTTTGCCAAATTTCTTCACTTCTCTGCATATGTTCGCAGGCAGTTTAACAAATCTACCAAAACGTTGCCTTGCGATAATGGTGGCGAGTACACTAGCCGAATCTTCCTTGATCATTTAGCTTCCACCAGCACCAAAATTCTCTTTTCCTGCCCAGACACGTCCCAACAAAATAGACATGCAGAGCGTAGCTACACACCATTAACAATCTCGTCCGTGCATTACTGATTCAAGCCAATATGCCACACTCATTTTGGGTCGAAGCATTACACACAGCTGTTTACACCTTAAACCTTCTACCATCTTCTTCCATACAAAATGAAATTCTTTACACTCGTTTTCTTGAGCTTCATGTGTCTTATTCTCAGTTACGAGTTTTCAGTTGGTTATGTTACTCAAACACAACTTCTACTTCTCCTCAGAAGTTGGCTCTCGGTAAGTCGCATGCATCTTTCTGGGCTATCTGGCGAACCATAGAGGATATAGGTGTTTGGTGATTGCCACACGTAAGATCATCATATCACACCATGTCATCTTTGTTGAGGACGTGTTTCCCTTCTCTGAAATTCTTTCTCAGCCCTGCCTTTCCTCTCACTCGGATGTCGCACCTCCTCCTATTGTCGTGCCATCTTGCCCTACCCGCTCCTTCTTCACAGCCAGTTCCTCCTCAAAATAACCACCATATGTCACTCTGAGCAAAACCGGCATAACTAAACCATGTATCCCTCTTTGTCTTCATACCGGTTCTATTTCTCATATTCGTCTTTCTCATGTACAGCCTGCGAAAGATCATCACTGGAATTGATCTATGATTGAGGAATATGATGATCATATTAACCGAGAAAAGTGGATTTATTACCACGACCTCCGGGAACTAACATAATTTGTTCTATGTGGTTGTATCTTCATAAGTTTAATGCAGATGGTACACACAAAACGCTACAAATCACAGTAACTTTGCATCGATTGATTGGAGACTTTCAATCATGTAGTCAAGCCGGCCACCATTTGCACAATTTTTCATCTTGCGCTAGCTCATAACAAGCCACTGTTTAAACTAAATGTCAAGAACGCCTTCCTCCATGGTGACCTTGAAAAGACCTTGTACATGCACCAGCCACCTGGATTCTTCGATGATATGTTGTGTTTTTGGAACATTCTAACCATGTTTTCTAAATTGGTTTTTGAGTCTTTATCGAGTCTTTCTTGACCTTTTCGGGTCATTACAGGTCTGGAGTTGCACTGGATAAGAGATGGACTAGCTGGAGCAAAAGAGACAGACAACAGTGCAATTTGGTAATTTTCACGCAAAACAATATGAAGTGACTGTTCCCGATCGAGCGGAGCAACCCGAGTGCCTGTTCCAGCGGCAGATAGTTTTAAGGAAACTGCAACTTATTTCGGGATTTGCCCTAATCTCCTTATTTTCTCTCTCAGTCGCATGTGGCTTGGGATGTCTTCTTTTTATGTTTCTCTTTATTAATCTACGTTTTTTTTTCAATGAAAACCAGACTCTAGAGCTTTGAACATTGCGATTTTCTTCTTGTAAAGGGAGAAGGCTATCTCTCTCGATTTAGAGAAGAACTCCTTAACCCTTTTTTTAATTCTTATGCAGGATTATTCAGTATCCATGTCTTTTATCTCTTATGATATGGCTGAGTAGTCCGCTAGCTTGCTACGGTTCTAGGGTGTTAATCACGTGAGCTAAACATAGATAAGTTAATCATTATATTGTTTTCGTTTAATGTATGAACTTAGGTTTAATATATTCATTAATCGTGTAATAGGTTGCTAGACATGTTATGAACGAGCCTAGCATCCATAATCAGTGAAAATAGATATTAGGTGTTTGGTGAACCTATCGGACTTGATCTCCATTGCTTGCTGTCGCATCTTGATCCAAGCGAGAGCTTAGGTATCAAGAGCGATCAGCATAAGGAACAGTACCACGACAGTGGGCTGTTCTACTTGAGTGATCTGGATTCTGGACATGTTCTTATAAGTACTTAAATAATTTTTCAGCTCACAAGTATTAGCATCCGATGAAGTAACCCTAGGCTGGCTTCTTGTTAGATTTGCATACTTTAATTAATCTTGTTACTTGTTTCTCACGAAACCATCAATTCAAACCCCACTATTGTTTTAGCTTAATATTGATCTCATAGAAATAAAGTGTAATCATTGGTCTCTGTGGATTCGATCCTAAAGCGCTACATCGACAAACCACTCGATTGTGGTAGTGTGTACATGAGGTTAATTGGGGTGCGTATACACGTAATATAAATTTTGCGCCGTTGCCTGGGACCATCTTTTTACCTTTATTTTTTTGGTTATTTATTTAGTCTAAGACCTCTAACTCTCTCTTTTCTCTTTGTTGCAGATAATGTTCCAGGTGTATGACCAGTACACATACTCAAAGCACTGCACAAGGACATTTAGTTACACTCAGCAACCAGGAGCTAGAAAAGTTAGAAACACAGAACAGACAACAGCCAAGGCCAACCAACACCACCATGGGTGATCACGGCCATCAGGATGATCTTTCTGCAGAAATGAAACTGATGCAACAGAAAATGCAGAAGACCATCCAAGCTCAGCAAGCAGCTGCACAACAAGCTTCTTTACTCGCTATGCATCAGCAAGAACAACCGGAGCGGGCTATTCCGATTGGGTAGAGAAACCTTCCGTGTAACTTTCCTATTACGCGCTCTGCCATTGTTCATCCACCCTGTCTGAGGCAAGACTTTGAGATCAAGCCTGCTCTGCTCGCTCTAGTGGAGAGGAAAATTTTCAATGGTCTCCCAGGAGAGATCCCAATGGAGCATAATATATAACCAATCCATTCAAGCAAAGTAAACTCAAATATTAACGAAGTACTAAATCCCGCGTGTATAAAAAGCATAATAAAAAATTTAACCATTTTGACATTGGATATGGGATCAAATGATTTTAAAGGAAACAAAAAAAGACCATTTAAATCTCTCATAAGATATCAATGACATAACTCTTTAATATAGAAATAATTACTGTAGACAAGCAAAATAAATCTTATCACATATAATTTTTTTCTCACCTATACCTTTCTAAAACACAAAAATAATTATCATACGTATTTCTTGCAAATGTAGACTTGAAGAATGAACTACGAAATCATACAAAAATTAAAAATTTAAGTCATTACTAAAATATATTATGTCCGTAGAGCGGACCGACCATAGTGTAATATATAAAAATGAATAATTGCCTATAAAAACTAAGAGAATTAAGATTAGATGGAACACAAAAACAAAACAAAAAAATACCACACATGCATATATATAGGAGTTATATATCAATTAATATATAATATGTAGGATGTATTATAAGTCTTGTTGTTATGGTCATTTGACTGTTTTTTTTTTGTTTAGATAGTAGATTCAAGGGTTTATTTATGAAAGAGTTATAAAGAAAAAAGAAAAATAGATTTTTAGAGAGAGGGAAAAGAGAAATAGGAAAAGGAATGAAGAGAGAGGAGAGATAGTGAATTATGTTTTTTTTTAGTGTTATTGAGTCTAACTTTCCCTAGATTCAAATTATAAAAAAAAAGTCCAAAAATGATCCAAAGACTTTCAAAATAATGAGTAAAGGAGATGTACATGAATCTCAGATACAAAAACAAGAACCTTTTGATATCAATACAGCTTTTGTAACCAAATCTGAAAATGTAATCTGAGATTCTTGTTGAAGTTAATGATTTTATGTTTCTTTTACAAGGATCGATGTTCCGTTGGCGTTTGTAGTAAGTTCAGTGTCAGACTTGAAACGTGGTTGGGTTTCATTCATTGCACCTGCTTATCGTCAATTCTAATGACCCAGTGGACCGCTAATGTTGTCTTACAATCATGGTTTCTTAATAACGTTCAGGCATAGAATTTGTGAAAGATTTGTTCTATTTTTTGTCAACCTTCATGACTCATAACATCACTAGACAGAGTCAAAAGCATATCACTGATATCCCGGAGAGGCGGTTAATGAATCGTACTCTTCACAGAGTTTCTGAAATTAAACATGTCAAAGGCCAAGAAAAGAATACGATACTCATGACAAAATAAGCGGGAAGGCAGTGCCAGTAGTTATTCTATGCGGGTTTGTGACGAGAAGCCTTAACTACATGAAGGCTTAGACAAGCAAATGTTCTTTCTGATATTCTCTCACAATGACAGGCACGCTCGTGGGCGGTACCTGAAAAAGAAAGATAGATGATGTTCCATGTTTTATATACTCGTAAATAATACTTAGATATGAGAGTTTTGAGAACCCTAATGTGATGTTCTTATAGACTTGCAAACAACAAAGTAAAGAACCTCTTATGGTTGATCTTACCATGCCGTAGTCTGTTATTATCATGGAAATGTAATCAGACAGAGTAGCATCATACCTGTCATTACAAACTTCTCAAATGTGTTTAAACTTTACCAGCAGATTAGAAAAGGAGTACAAGAGCATAAGAATCTTACATTAAGTTGAGAAACTGTAAGTTTGTGTCGTTGGTCAGACCATCTAAGAGCATCTCCAACCCCACTCCATATTTTACTCCAAAATGGAGTGAAGAATGGAGTGATGAAGAAACAAAAATCTCATTACTCCAAATATGGAGTAATCACTTTTTTATTTCTTCATCACTCCATTTCCCACTCCATTTTGCAGTAAATTATGGAGTGGGGTTGGAGATGCTCTAAGTAGTTTATGTCTCCTCTTCCATGAAGTTTTGAAATCGCATTTGGATCACCTAAAGGAAGAGAATGATAAGTACCAACGTTCTTATGTGACACGGGGTAAGAAGAATTAAAATGCTGAGTAGGATGTTATGTCAATTTCTAAGGTTGTGTTCGGAAAGACTGAGAAGACACTGATTGAGGAAGAGCGTTTGAAGTATGAGAAGACTCGGATTGAGACAGAGGGTTCAAGGAGTGGAGAGACTCTAGTTGCGACAGAGGATTTGGAGGGTAGAAAGACTCTAACTGTGGCAGAGGGTTAGCAGTTAGAGTCAACTTGACATGGGAGCTCGTGAAAGTGATTATATATGGAAGTTGGCCGTTGCGATTCTCTTTTATGCTTTGTTTGTTATTTGTAGACGCTATGAGTCTTTGGACGATCGTTATGAGATCGTAGAAGAAGATCTATATCGTGATGAGATAGAGATCTGATTATGTACTTGCAAAGCTTTTATTTCCATTCAATAAACGAGTATTTCCCTTTACAAATCTTTCAGTTCACAAAACACTATCATTGGTGCGGTGAAACGGTTCGAACTATCTACAGCGACGATGTCTTCGGTGAAATCGAGGTTTTCTGATGTCTCTTTGGATACGTCTAAGGAGATACGAGTTCAGGTGAAGTTTTTGATGGGAGCTTATGAGAAGCTGTGTGACGATGCAGCGTTGAAGGACGGAGGTTTGATTCATTGGAATCTCAAGTAGATTTTTTGGACTCGAAGCTGTCTTCCATGGATTCGAAGCTCGATTCGGTGCTTAAGGCGTTGGGGAAACAACCGGTGATTGATCAATCTCCGATTCAGACGCCGATTTGTGATCCGGTGCTCTCTTCGTCCCAATCTCAGGTACGAAACAATCACTTCGAACGTATCCATGAACATTCTCCGTCGGGTTATTGTGGTGACCACTTGAACTTAGATAATCGTCAGAATATGTTGAAGAAGATTGAGATGCCATTGTGTGATGCTACGGGGGTATCAGAGTGGATGGTTGATGTGGAGTATTTTTATGAGTTAGGAAGGTATGATGAGGTTTCGAAAATGGATCTGGTTCTGTTATGCTTGTGAGGAGCATGAAAAAATGGTTCTCATGGGTGATGCGTCAGGGTAAGATTTCAAACAATGTTTGTTTGTACGCTTTTCGGAATCTATTGAAGATGAGCCGAGCACGAGATTGTTCTCTATCAAACAGACGGGAACTATAGCGGAGTATGTTTCCGATTTTGAGGATCTTTCAGCTCAGGTTCCAGGGTTGGATGATCACCATTTTGAGCGGATCTTTTATATTGGGCTTAGTAAGGAGATGAAGGAAGTGATCCGTATGAAAGAGCCACAAGGTCTGTATAACTACATTGCGACTGTTCTTAAGATGGAGTCAAGTACATTTTGCCGTGTGGTGGGAGATACACCTAAAGGAGGGTTTAAGAATCAAAGTGCCGGGTCTATTACCAATGCTCGCACTGGAGGTTATGTCTCTACTCACCAGAAGCCATTGGCGTTGGAAGCTAAACCACAGAAGGAGAACATGGTACCACTTAAGAATTCCCAGCGTCCAAGACAACGTCATTCTGATGCTGAGCTTGATGCGTTGAGGAGACAGGGGCTTTGTTTTAAATGTGGTGAGAAATGGTCTAAACCTTATGAGGCCATTTGTCCTAAGAGGGAGTTCTGAGTGTTGACTGTACTTAATGGATTTGAGGTAGAGTTGCTGGATAGTGACACGGAGGAGGAGTGTGATTCCGCGTTGGCTATGCCAGAGATGAAGACGCTATCTTTTTGTGCATTCATGGTAATTGATTCACCTAACACAATGTAGTTGATGGGTCGTATTGCAGGGAGTGACGTGTTGGTTATGATTGTCATTGGTGCTTCCCATAATTTCCTTTCTCCTTCCATGGTGCAGAAGTTACGTTTGAAGGTGAGTATCGCTAATGGGATGGATGTTTTACTTGGCAATGGCGTAATTGTGAAGGGATTGGGAGTGTGTAGGGAGGTTCCTTTTCAGCTAAACCAGGCCAGTTTTATTTCAGACTTTATCTCTTTGGAGTTGGGGTCTGTGGATGTGATTTTGGGGGTTCAATGGTTGGAGATTTTGGGGAAGTGTGAGAGGGATTGGAAGGTACAGGGGCTTTCGTTTTCTTATCAAGGTGGGAGACCGAAGTTTACATGGACCTCGCTTATCTTTCAAGTCATTACAGTCAACAGATGACAGTGTGTTGGAAGGTAATGACTTGGTCGTTCTGAATACTGGAGAGAGTTCCGAAGTTGCTACTTGTGACCCAGCAATTTATGAAGTAATTGATAAGTGGGAGTCCGTCTTTGCATTACCCCAAGGTTTACCTCCTTTCCGAGGTAGTGAGCATTCCATTCAGTTACTTCCTGGGGTTACAACCATTTCTGTCCGACCATATCGTGATCCACACGCAACTAAATAGGTGATGGAGCAGATGGTGGAGGATATGTTGCATTCTGGGATCATTGGAGCTAGCACGAGTCCATTCGCGAGTCCAGTGCTGTTGGTGAAGAAGAAGGACAACAGTCATCGATTACAGAGCTCGGAATAGGGTCACGGTATTGGACAAATTTCCTATTCCAGTTATAGATCAGCTGTTGGATGAGCTTCATGGGGAAGTTGTGTTTTCCAAGCTTGATCTCCGTTCTGGGTATCACCAGATACGTATGGTGGAAGAGGATATTCATAAGACTGCCATTAGAACCGTTGAAGAGCATTATGAGTTCCTAGTGATGCCTTTTGGCCCCACTAATGCTCTAGCCACTTTCTAAGCGCTTATGAACAAGATTTTTAAGCCATTTCTCCGTGACTTTGTGTTGGTTTTTTTTTTATGATGTGCTCACTTACAGCAAGTCAGTGGAGTTGCACTTACAACATTTGCAAGCAGTGTTGGAGGTGTTTCAGAAGAACCAGCTGTTTGCCAATAGAAAGAAATGTGTGATGGGAATGACTCAAGTAGAATACTTGGGACACATCATTTCTAAGGAGGGAGTTTCCACGGATGGTGCTAAAACGGAGGCGATGAGACACTGGCCAACGCCTAAAAATGTGAAACAACTGCGGGGATTTTTAGGGTTGAGCGGGTATTATAGACGTATTGTACGTCATTATGGATTGATTGCCAAACCACTCACGTTTATTGAAGAAGGAGCAGTTTGTTTGATCACCTGAAGCTCAGTTGGCATTTGAGAATTTGAAGAGTGCCATGTGTTCAGCACCTGTTTTGGCCTTGCCGGACTTTGAGAAACAATTCATTGTCGAGACTGTTGCTTCTGGAGTTGGCTTGGGTGATGTACTTATGCAGGGAAAGCAACCTATCGCGTTTTTTAGTCATGCTCTGACTGATAAAGAACAGCTTAAACCTGCTTATGAGAGAGAGTTAATGGCGGTGGTATTGGCTGTTAAAAAGTGGAGACATTACTTAATTGGGAGAAAGTTTACGGTGCACACTGACCAGCGTAGTTTGAAATTTCTCTTGGAGCAGAAAGAAGTAAACATGGAATATCAGCGTTGGTTAGTTCATCTTTTGGGATTTGATTTCGAGGTTTTTTTATAAACCCGGCTGTGAGAATAAGGCAGCAGATGGGCTTTCGAGGAGCATGAGTAGCTTGGATGTGTCAGCTAATACCTTATTGTTGTCTTTAACTACTCCTGCGGTGCTACAGTTACAAGACCTGTACAAAGAGATTGATGCAGATGCAGGGATTCAAAGCATTATTGCACGAGTGCAAGACCGTTCTTTAGTCAACGCTAATTACCAGTTGGTTGAGGGGCGTCTTTGGTATAAGCAAAGGTTGTTGGTGCCTAAATCCTCTGCTTTCATTCCATTAATATTACATGAAGCACATAATGGATTAGAAGGTGGATACTCAGGTGTTTTGAAGACTTGAAACGGTTGCAAAGGTCGTTTTATTGGGAGGGGATCTCACGTTCTGTGCAACAGTATGTGCAGGAATGTGTCATTTGCCAAAAACATAAGTCGTCTACATTGTCTCTGGCTTGTCTTTTGCAACCTCTTCCTTTACCTTCTCGTGTTTGGGATGAGATTGCTTTGGATATTATTGAGGGTTTGCCCACATCTCAGGGAGTTAATGTGGTGTTGGTGGTGATCGTAGACTTAGTAAATACGCTCATTTCCTGAGTCTAAGACATCCCTTTTCTATGGTGGATGTGGCTAACTGTTTTGTGGAGGGCATCGTGCGTTTACATGGGTTTCCTAGTAGCATTGTGTCTGACCGAGATCGTATCTTTCTGAGTCAGTTCTGGAAGGAAGCATTTCGTTTATAAGGTACTCAACTCAAGTATAGCACTGCCTTTCATCCTCAAACGGATGGGAATCTGAGGTGTTGAATCGCTGTCTTGAGACTTACCTTCGGTGTTTTGCTTCTACACATCCTCGTACTTGGCGCAAGTTTCTGCCATAGGCTGAGTTCTGGTATAACACATATTTTCATACTTCACTCAAGACTACACCATTTCAAGTGGTTTATCGTCGGGATCCTCCAGTAATGGTGAAGTTTGAGGAGGGGTCTACAAGTAACTTTGATTTGGAAACTTCTTTACGTGAACGTGATAGGGTATTGCTGCTTATCAAACAGAACTTATTGTGTGCTCAAGACATTATGAAGAAGACTGCTCATAAGCATAGGAGGGACGTTTCCTTTGATTTAGGAACGTTGGTGTATCTTAAGCTCAAGCCCTATCGGTAACAGTTGGTTTCTCACCGAGTTTGTCAGAATTTGGCTGCGAAATACTTTGGTCCTTATCGCGTGGTTGCTCGGATTGGTAAGGCAGCGTACAAGCTTGATTTGCCTGTGACTTCTAAGATTCACCTGGTTTTTCATTGCTCTCAGTTGAAAGCTGCTTTGGGAGTAGATCGTGTGGTTCATCCTTTACCTGATGATTGTGTCGAAGAGGTTGCAGCTGTTCCAGAACCATTAGAAGTGTTGGCTAAGAGGTATAACGAGGATGGTTTCCTGGAGTTGTTGGTTAGTTGGGTTGGTAAGCCTTCACATGAGCATTCTTGGGTGGCATTTCGCACTTTTGTGAAGGATTATCCATCTTTCAAGCTTGAGGACAAGCTTGGTTTTAAGGGGAGGAGTATTGATAAGTACCAACGTTCTTATGTGAGACGGGGTAAGAAAAATTCAAATGTTGAGTTGGATGTTATGTCAGTTTCTAAGGTTGTGTTCAGAAAGACTAAGAAGACAATGATTGAGGAAGAGGGTTTGAAGTATGAGAAGACTCGGATTGAGACAAAGGATTCAAGGAGTGGAGAGACTCTAGTTGCGATATAGGATTTGGAGAGTGGAAAGACTCTAACTGTGGCAGAGGGTTAGCAGTTAGAGTCAACTTGACATGGGAGCTCGTGAGAGTGATTATATATGGAAGTTATCCGTTGCGATTCTCTTTTATGCTTTGTTTGTTATTTGTAGACGCAATGAGTCTCTGGACGATCGTTATGAGATCATAGAAGAAGATCTATATCGTGATGAGATAGAGATCTGATTTTTTACTTGCAAAGATTTTATTTCCATTCAATAAACGAGTATTTCCCTTTACAAATCTTTCAGTTTACAAAACTCTATCAGAGAACAACAAATATAAATCCAAGGTAAAACAAAACCAGAGATGGCACTAAGACATGATACAGAAAGAGATGGTGTTGATATATACCGAGCTCATTGGAGCAAATGGAATCCAGTTGCACCCGCTCATGGAACTTGTAGGCTTCGCAGCATACAAGCACAGGAACACGGAACGCACTTGCAACCATTGCAACACAAGCAGTGCCGACCCTTGAGTAAACTGTTTCGTTTGACAAAACTGATGAAGCACCCAAAAAAAATTTGGTGACTTCATTCATGATATACGAAATGTCGTTTATATGAGTGTATGTACAGTCAATCACTCGTTTCATCAATCTACAAAGTAGTAGCTACCCTTCAAGCTTCGGACGAGAATCCACGACCAAGACACGGAACTTCTTCCTGAGTTCATGTGCCTGTAATAATACCATCTCCACAGCAGTTGGAGATCCATAGGTCAGAAGCACATCACCATCTCTTATTTTAGTAACAGCGTGTCTGACGATCGCTTTATCTGGTGCAACGATCTTCTCGCTAATGAAACGTTTGATATCTGATTGAAGAGCAGCCTTTGCTTCAGATTCAGTAAGCGTTATGGGCAGATTTGCAATCCTGTTCTTCACGAAATGTATTGCGCTTCCCATGCTAACTGAAAGCGGGCGGCATTCTATGAGAAAAGAGACGTAGCTACTTATCTTTGCAGTCATGTCCCTGTTAAGAGTCTACAGGTGGTGTTGAATAATCTTTGACGACCTCCTGGAATGCTTGAAGCATCGCAACACACCTGGCATTGCCACCAGATAGATCCCCAGAAAGATATTGAAGACCAACCTGATAATCACAACAACTGATACTCATCAGAACAAAGGGTTCGTCAATTTAAGCAAGAGACTATCGAAAGGGTACTTATAGATCAAATGCGGTCAAGAGAAAGAAAAATACCTTGTAGACAACACAATGCATAGGGTCGAGCTGGAAGAAGTTTGTCTCGAGATCAGGAAGTTTTGTCCCATGCTCATACTAAGACAAAGGCCTAAACAGCTCAACCCTATTTTTTGCCTCGGTCTGTTTCACAACAGCACGTCTTTTCGCCTTCACGACTCTACTCGCGTCATCATATTGCATGCGGGATGTGGAGCATCTTTCTTTCTGTCTTTCTCAGATGGTCCAGCAAGATCGTTCTTCTGAGAAGAGGGGGGCTTTGCTGGCTTAGCAGCTTTAACATTTGTTGAAGCCGCCGAGCTTGAGCTCACTAGAGGCGCCTTCCCACCGTCATCTGTTAACACAGAGAATAAGAAATAAAAATAAAGCACAATTATGCATGCGATTTTTCATTCAAGAAATGACAAAATACATCTAACACGATCCTAGATGCAAAGCAATAGATAAATAGAGGCACCTTTGTGGTGTAGCCATGAGCAGAGACATAGAAGAGGAGCTGAGTAAGACAGAGGATGAGGAGCTGACTGAAGAAACTGCCTTAGAAGAGAGATGTGCAGCTGATGATACTGAAGTTAACAACCAGAGAGAGGAACCAAAGGAACCAACCAATGTGTGGGACAGACCAGTCACCAGAGCCAGGCTGGGAAAGCAAGAGAAGAGTCTCCAAGACTTGTTCAAAATCGTGGGAGCTGGTCCAAGAGGAGAATTTCAAGATAGCCTGTTGGTTTAATTTAATTGCAATGTAATGGTTATGGTTATTGGGTTTTCATTTAACTTAAACCAAAGACAATTAGGATTAGTAAACCAAGTCTGGGTAGGATTAGGATTTCAAATTGAACCAGGTCGATTTTAATTAGGATTAGGAGATAGATTAAACCACCTCGGTTTGCATCTAGGGTAGTTGTCGATTTCTTTTATATGTTCTACGCAGCCTCTATGAACTTTCTCAACTTTGAATCTAATAATTTTCCAGCAACCTTGCTTGCTTTTGTCTCAAGCTTTCTCTGGTCAGCTAAAGGAACATTGATCTCACCTTAGGGAAGGAATTCCTTAGTGAATTCATCTTAGACAATACAGGGTGACCCTGTGTCTTTGAGTAGCAAACCATCTCTGTTGCAACATCACAGCCTCAGAGAGCCGACTATAGTTCAAGGAGTGCTAGTAACCCCTAAGAACAGTCCTACGCCCATTCCCTTCAAGTGATCCAGAGCAGAAGCCATGCCCAGGCTGCACCACTTTGGCAGCTCTTTGAGCTTCTTGAAGAGCTCGTCTCTCAGCTTTGGTGGTCTTCTCTTTCAGTTCCAGTGGCTTAGAGCTCTTCTTCTGGTCACTCTGCACCTCCACTACACTAGCAATTTAATATAATTAAAACATTGTGATTCAAGTGAGTGATTTTTTTCCGAAGCAAGCGAGAATACTAGGAGGCATGTTCACGAGAGAGACAGTGGTTAATACACTAGCTGGAACGCTGCTAGATTTTGCAGCTGCCATAGAATCCATACCGACACCAGGAAGCGACGACGCAAGAGAAGATCTCGAGAAACTTCCCATGGAAACGCGTCCAGGAGACGCCTTCATTGAACCGTCTGGTAAATCGCGGTGGCTGGAGTAGAAGAAGAAAGAAGAAGAGACGGCTGATGTAGTGACGGCGCAAAGAGGGAAGGTATCGGAGAAGTTATGGCGCGGTGGAGGAATCATGACGGGGGAGAGGGAGTTGCGGGAGGGAGAAATGGTGGAAGCGGGATGAAAATCTGACGCAATCGGGTCGGGTGGGAGAGCCGAATAGGGTTGTGATGAAGTGAAGAAACTGACTTGACGGACTTTTGGATCCACGACGGCGCGAGGGTTCCGTCGAGACTCCATCGCCTAGTGAAGAAGGTTAGCGTTAGCGTAGCTTTGGTTTGGGGATCCAATTTTTTTTTTGTATGGTTAATTATGCTACTACAAATTATGAGAAACATGGAAAATTCTACATATTTTACGTGGGTTTACGTCTCACTGTATCATCTTGAGCTGCCTTTTGAAATCCATTTCTGATGGCATTTCTTGCGCCATACTGAAAATCTTTTGTAAGCTTTCTTTCCAATTTTCTGCATAATTCGCCTTCTCCGAGAACTAAAACTTAGAAATTACATAATCTAAGATTTGAAACCTAAACCTAGTGTAGAAACCTTTAAATCTTTGACAACTAAGCCACTGGTACTTCCACAGCTTGGTTCTATTCTTTGGACTGATTTTTGGTTTTAGAAACTATACTGGATTATTTTTGTCAAAACTATGGTTCGATTTGTCTAAGTTAATGTAGTTGAACTTGTTAAGCAACAAAAATATTAGCACCCTATTGAATCAATTACTTTGGTTAGTTCTGTTTCAGATATAATATGCACATTACAGTCTAAGTTACTTTGGACTTTGTACTGTTTACAGTTTGTCATAGATCACAAAATCTACTTAAAAATTACGGTTACAATTTATGCTAATGTATCGAATAAGTAACTGATGAAAAAATAATGTTTTTAATTGATATTACAATTATGAAAAAAATTACATAAACGATTCGATAACCGGTAATACTACATATCTTATGATGATCTAAACCTAACTGAATCACCTGAACCGTCCTATGAAAATTCACACCTAACCGAGTTTACTTGTACCATGACGAAGATCCCTTGTAAACTTTTTCTTTTGTAACCTACATAATTGTTTAATAAATCGTTTTCATTGGAGACTGAAACTTGGACCTCCTGGTATAAAAACATTTATGAACCTTCAGTCAACCAACCTACAATGAAATAGAATGTATATTGGTGATTTTTGTGGCAGTGTGTATTGTTGAAACTTAAAATTTACTCAGAATTTGTGTTTTCTTTTGACTTATCAAAAGAGTAATCTAAAAATGAAAGTCTAATCTATGATCAACTATGAAAATATGTATGTTCTATTAATGATAAGATCAAGAATAAACGATAAATACAGAAAGTATTTAAAGACAAAAGGGTACGAGTGTATTGATACTATTGTTATGGAGAGAATCGAATCTCCCTTTTTCTTGATTTTTCCTTCTTTTATAGGTCCTTAGAGGTGTACGATAACACGTTGTGATCTCCCGCGTGGATCAAGTGTATTTATGGTAGTCTTAAACGTCTTTAGTTCTTTTATGTTTTACTTGGACTCTCCGACTTGGAATGTGAGATTTCCTCAGACTGGAGTGGGCCTTAACCTTTGTGCGCTATTATTCCTTCTTATGCTTCGAGGATTCTTTATTGGGGCTTCGTTACACTTGGGTTAAGATCTCGGATCGAGTCAAGAGCACAGTCGAACACGATGGTGAATTATTAAGAAGATGTTTTATTGATCAATCAAGTAATGAGTTACAAGAGATTTCGATTGAGGAGCAGGAGAAAAAATCAAGGATATCGGCGAGAACAAATAATCAAAGGTGATAATCCCTCTCCAACACACACGAACACAAATGGTTTAGTAAAGGATGACAGTAATTTCAACTGAATGGATGATAGGTATTTGGATTGCTGCTTCATTTCTCCGCTTCAAATGTGACACTCCTATATCCCAAGTCCATTAGGATTATAATTAACGTGTCAGTGTTAAAATCTAATCCTTAGATTCTACATTAGTTATGAGGACTGGCCCGATGCTGAACTAATTCATAATTATTGACATAATACACACGTAGCCAAGAAGAGAGATATCTGAACTTTTTATACATATGATGATTATACAAAGTTGATATACAAGAGCCAAGTGATCGTATATGCTTTGTTCATATTCAAGAGGTCGTAGAAGATGCAGAGACGTTAGAAATAAGTCTTACTTCATAGAGATTCTCACTTTCTCCTTTACCTTCAAAACGAAAACAACAAGAAGAAAAAAAAAACAATTATTAAAGATTAAGAAATTCAATTTAAGACCTGAGTGAGAAAACATGTGAATGGCGTATTGATGAACGACAACCACTACTACTTACCGACTTCTGCAGTGATGTTTGGTCCAAAGAAGGAAGTGAATTTCGCCTATCAATAAAACACGATGTTTTCAGCTAATTTTATGTTCTTGTACTTCTCACAGACTACATCTGATGAAAACCAAAGATAACAAAGCTTTATGTTCCCTATGTGTTCTGTCTAACTCTTCTTACCTGTCTTTGTTCGAAATCTGACAGCTTGAGAGCTTTGGCCTCAAATACAAGGACCAGGCAGTAACGACCATCGGTCAAGACCTGAAAAGATGATCAGGGTAAGTTTAGTTTCATCAGTCAATGTCCATGTCAAATGCATCTAAGCAAATGATTCATTAAATAATATGATGTATAGTTATATGGACAAGAAGTTAACCTCTTCCCTTATCATCGTTAAGATAGGTGCACTACGTCTTGGGATTCCTCCCCCCTAATTCAAAAAGGAAAAATGGGAAAGAGTCATTAATTAAAGGAGATGTAGAAAAGTATGCGGTCTGTTTAACTCAGTGAAATAGTTTACCAGCCCATACTGAAAGATCCGTTTAAGTGCTTCTTCCAAATGCTGTTCATCTCCATAACGGTATCTCGTCACATCATTTCTAACCTAATAAATCAAAGACTCTTCAAGAACACATACCCCGGGATATAATCATTTCTAACCTAATGGGCAAAAACAGTTGAATTTTTGTGTAAGAAAGACCTTGTGCAAGTGAGGATTTACTGCACTGAAATCAAGCTAGATTTTAGATAGAATTAATGTCAAAAAACTATTGACAGCCCCCGTTCTTCTGATCTTGTAATTTCAGTTCTAGCAACTTTTGAGCAGAAAAATAACTATGTTTTAGCAATTTTATGTAATAGCGAGAGATTAGGAACAATCAGAACCAAAGTACTGTACTCTGTTAAGTTGATATAAACCTTTGTTCATGTAATAAAAGGAGCCTAAAGATTCAGGCTAAGGTTCTTTTTAATCCTAGTATTTCTTGAAGATTAAAGTATAGTCTTGAAAGTTGAATTCTTATTAATCAACCGAGACTTTTATACAGATTTTGATAAAACTGAATCATATGAAGGAAAACACTCTTAACATAGAAAGAAAAATTACAAAAAGCTAATTCATTTAAGTAAAACACCAAACTCCTAAAACTAAAACACTCTAAGCAAGGATGGTCTAGTAGCATACGTATAGAGAGCAAACAGAAGTACAAAAGTACCTGCGTTAAAATAGGAGTAGCAGAGTTTTCCCTAAGCTTCACCGCATCAGCGTAGCTCAAGCAAGGAACTGGTTTGAGTTCTGCGTACTGTAAATGAAGCAAAACAGAGACCAAAGAAAGAAATTAAGAGCTCTAATAAAAAAGGCAATTTCAATTTCTCGTTATATTTACTTACTTTGCAGTAGACAAGATATGGGAATTACCTTGAGTGCCATACCGATAATAGCAAGTGGAAATCCATAGGTTAGCATAATAGCAGACCACTCAGATCCAGGAAGGATGTTAAAGTATGCCCCGAAACCGTACCTGTAAGAGTAAACACATCCACAGTGAAAACACAACACACTTCCACTATAGCAGCAAGCAAAGAAAGAAACTCTCACGAGAGGAGGGAGACCCCGAGACCTAGCCCAATAACACCAAAGGAAATCTGCAAAACATGTAACAAGTCAGTGAAAGTTTCAAGAACTTGATTTTTATTTTTCTTTTAAAAAAGAGGGTCGACAGCAACCTTGGCTAGAGTGAATTCATCATCAGGGATCAAAGTTTTATCACCGGAAGCCACGGAGGGAGAAGAGCTCGTGGAGTCAGCAGCTCTTGCCACGAAACCGACCCTCAGGGCCTCTCGTTTCAGCTTCGTCTCGGGGACGTAGAGCCATCTCTGCTCTGTCATTTGTGAAGACCAAACGACGGGTTGATTCTCATGGTGACGGTCGTAGACAGCTGATCGTCGGTTATTTTGGCGACGGATATGGAAGGGTAAGACGGTGGTTCCCGAAGCTGCCGATAAGGATCCCATCTCTCTCTCTCTCTCTCTCTCTCTCTGTACGTGTGGGAAAGAGAGTAATGTGAGTCTGAGGCAAAAGTCATGGCCACGATTTCTCTCTATTCTGATTTCGGTTTATGCAAACCGGTTAAGCTATTCATCAACTGTTCTTCGCCAAAATTCTGGTTCAAGTGTTTCATGAAGCCCGATTCACACCATTTGGTGCTGGTTTACGATAACCAGGTCAATCCGTTCAACATTTTTTTTTTTTTTTGCTCAATCCATTCAACACTATCCGGCTGTTTTCGTTCGGTTTCACTATGGAGTATAGACTATGGATTATGGACTCCTACTTTTCCACTCAACACAATTCGTAGGCTTACAGTTATCGGTTCGGGTTCTAGTTGATTTGGATTTTTCAGTACAGACCTCATTTATAATTTTTTTCTTTATTTAAAGTATATTTTAATATAAAGTTTATAATCTGAAATCTAAATCGAGGCCAAACTACAAAATCCATATCCATACCCGATCTAAATATAAAAAATAATATCATAAGATGTATTATAGGGCGGTAGTGGTACAAAACATATGAAATCTGAAACTCAAAGTGTTATTAGTCAATCCAAACCGATAACCCAGAAAAACTGTAAAATTTTGAAAAACAGAATTGGTGTAGATTTTCAATCCGGCCTTCATTTATATTTTATTTTAATACGGATTTCAGTGGATTTTTTGTACTAAAGACAAAAAAAATCAAATACATAAACCACTGAAAATTTATATTTATAAATCTAATCTATTAAATTAAGGATTGATTTTTATCTACTACTTAAAGTTATCATTTAAATTTGGACTCTTTCATAGTTGTTACTAGAATATATCATGTCTCATATAAAATACA